GGTGGTATGTCCCCATGGAGCCCGGGTGACAGTGTCCCCATGGAGCCCGGATGGCAATGTCCCCTCGGAGCCCGGGTGGCAATGTCCCCATGGAGCCCCTGTGCAATGTCCCCATGGAGCCCTGGTGGCAATGTCCCCATGGAGCCCCAGTGGCATGTCCCCATGAAGCCCCTGTGGCAATGTCCCCTCAGAGCCCTGGTGGCAATGTCCCCATGGAGCCCGGGTGGCAATGTCCCCATGGAGCCCGGGTGACAGTGTCCCCATGGAGCCCGGATGGCAATGTCCCCATGGAGCCCCTGTGCAATGTCCCCATGGAGCCCCTGTGGCAATGTCCCCATGGAGCCCGGGTGGCAATGTCCCCATGGAGCCCCTGTGGCATGGCATGTCCCCATGGAGCCCCGGTGGCAATGTCCCCCTGGAGCCCTGGTGGCAATGTCCCCTCAGAGCCCTGGTGGCAATGTCCCCATGGAGCCTGGGTGGCAGTGTCCCCATGGAGCCCCGGTGGCAATGCCCCCATGGAGCCCGGATGGCAATGTTCCCATTGGAGCCCCTGTGGCAATGTCCCCATGGAGGCCCGGTGGCAATGTCCCCATGGAGCCCTGGTGGCAATGTCCCCATGGAGCCCCGGTGGCAGTGTCCCCATGGAGCCCCTGTGACATGTACATGTCCCCATGTGCCACCGAGGGCCCCGTGCTCACTGCTGCCAGCCCAAGTCCCTCGGAGCACTGCAGCCGTGTCACGGGCAATCCGGCTGCGTGACTGCCACCTGCAGTTGGAAACAAAATCACTGGAACAGGTCAGCAATGACAGTCTGAATGTGCTGTGTCTCCCAGGTCATCTGCAGGGGGAAAGGAAAAGGCTGAACGGTCAAGCTGGAAGGGAGGAAATGTGGAAAAATGGATTCTGTGATAGAGGAGGTGAGCAGCTCCTGTGAGAAAAGAGGTAAAAAAAGCTGGGAAAAATCCAGCTTGTGGTTTTGGAGACATAAGGAAAGTCACTCTGGGGATGGATGTTCACTAGACCATCACAGCTATGCAAAATTTGAAAAGCCATGGTCCGGAAACAGGGCTTTGGGGACAACTGGATACAAATGGACTGTTAGGCTGCTTCTCGGGCCATGTGGAGACACAGATTTTGTATTTTGTTGCTTAGCATTCGTTTTAGTTTGTCAGCTCCAGAAAGCTGCTTTCCCACAGCCTTGTCTCAGGACCGTGGGGTGCAGGAGCAAACTGGGGCTGTTGACTTTCAGACTACTCAATCATCCTGCAAATTACAGCCAGCCCAGAAGAAAAACACAGCTCTGCACGTTTCCTTTTTTAGGTACAAGTGTTGGGAAAACAATACAAGATTTTGTTTCTGATAAACTAGGAGCTGTTTCAGGAATATTAATTATTTTTCTTGTATCAATATTTTACATTTATTCCTCTGCTATGATATTGGGACTGAGATGGATGAAGCCTACAGCATGGTTTCAGACTTTCTTTCAGGCCTCTGAAAAAAAATTAAAAAATAGTGCTGAAATTTTGATGTCAGAAAGGTTTCTTTTCTGGTTATTTTAGCCTGGGGTATGGAAGATGTGGGCTCTATTCTCTGCCCCTTTTAATCCCTTTGCAACATTATTTGGAATCATGTTCTTAAAAAGCCTCTGTATGCTTAAGGAAGGGGCTTAAAGGGCATCTGAAGGTGTTGAGGCACCTGAATAAATTTTAACTTCTTGTGTACCACCTCTGTAATCCTTCATCTCCCAGACCTTCACACTGGTGGAAGGCTGCAGGAGAGATTTTGCTGCTTTATAGTTGTACTGCGAGGAGAAATTCTCAGTCTGGGAGATGCTGGAGCCTCCAAAGGCACACGTGTGATTTTCAATAAGGAAGTGAGGATGGAAGGAGTGGATCCATCAGGGGATTTTTGTCCTCTGTGTCCAACCTGAGCTGGGTGCTCAGTGCTGGGCTTGGGCACAGCCTGGGTTGGAAGAAGATGTTTTCTTTCAGAGCTGATTGAGGCCTGGAGAGAGCCCACCCAAGAATGTGATAGTGCATCTGGGATTTAAGCCTCGGCCTCTGTGTGTGACCCAAAAAACAGGACACAGAATAGGAGCTCAGCCATTCCCTCTAACCTGGTGGGAAACCTGTCCGTGAACCAATGTCCAACATCTGCACCAGAGCTGAGGCTGCTTGGGACTTCAGTCTGCAGGGAAACAGAGGTTGTGTAGATGGTTTTAGGGCTGGATCACCTGTGTGTGATGTCCTTGGGACAGACCTTGACTCCTTTGGGGTGAAATGGCTGGGAAATGTTACAAAGAAGTGTTTTACACATCATCCCCTGAGATGTAGCATGAAGACGAGCTCTCGTTCTGCTGCAAGTTAGAGTGATTTTGTCAGAAGGCATGGCATGAACGTGACCATGTGGATTAAGTCCTGAAGGTTTCCCTCAGCCAACACTGTCTTTGAAATCAATGAGGCTGAAGTTATTGCCTGATAGGAGGAGGAGTCCATCTGGGATTTCTCAGCTGAAATTAACTTTAATGATAAAAACGATGATATAAATATGTAAAATACAAAAACAGTGTTGTCAGCCGCTTTGTTTCTGGCTCAAGGGGTTTATATGTTTAGTCTTACATGTTTTTCACATTGATTTTGTGTATCAAGATTTGACGTTGTCAGGAACCACTCAGTAAAAATATTTAGTAATAACAATAAAAATAGAGGGTGTGATTTCATAATCCTAACAAAACAGATAAGGCAGATGTTCAAACTAATTCTTGGCTTGGTTTAGGCGTTCTCCTGGTGCCTATCACATTGAACTAGTACTGAGACAACTTTGTTTTCAAGGAGGTCTTCATGCTGGAGCATATCAAGTAAGAGATCTAAGAAACTATAACATCAACAGTAATGATATTTCTTTTGAGATACAGAAAGTTTAGCCATTGAAACAGTATTTTTTCTTGTCGTTTGTTTAGTCTGTTTGGTGAATTCTGCCAGGTTGGTTTTGATCCTGTATGAAGAGTGATTTGCTGTAAGAGCGGATGCATCAGCCGAATCGCGCTTCAAAGTAAACAATAAATAACTGTAACAGTTAATATAAGGAACGGACATCTCCACAGTTTATTTTCCGCTTGGTTTAGTTTAGTTCAGGCCAGCTTCTTTCTGCCATCATTTGCATCCGAGCCGAGAGATCAGAGCGGGGCAGCGTGCGCGGTGGGCTCCCACGGCCGGGGCAGAGGGGCGCTGTGGGTTCTGAGCAGTGGGGTCGGGGGTCTGCATCAGAGGGGCGCTGCGGGTTCCGGGGTCTGCACCGCCGCTGGGCTCAGGGGCTGCGGGGAGGGCAGCGCCCGGGGCACGGCGGTGTCGGTACCGCCGGGCCCGGCTGCGGGACGCGCTCCCCGCTCCCGGCGCTCCGCACCGCCCGCAAAGGGTTAAGGGGAGCGGGCCCGGCAGAGGGCGGGGGCTGCCGGGGCTCCGGGGATTGGTGCGAAGTTTGCAGCGGGCCGGCCCCGCGCCGCCCTCCCTCCGCGGCGGCTCGGCCCCCGCCGCCACAAAGCCCTGCAGGGAAAGTTGCTTTATCGCCGGGTGCTCTCTCTCCCCGGCTCTCCCCCCCCTCCCCTCCCCTTCCCCAGCCCCTTTCCCCTCCTCCCCTCGCTCCTTAAACGGGATTCCGGCTGGGCGAGCCGCCGGACGGCATCACCGGGCATCCCGCGGCGCGGAGCCCCGCAGGCTCTGGCAGGTCCCCGCTGTCCCTCCCCGCACACACACGCTCAGCCCGGCCCGGAAAGCAGGAAAAAAATAATTTACAAGGTTCCCCCCTTTCCCTGACCTCCTCGCCCGTGACTCCCGAGTAGAAAAAAAATCGGGGGCGAAGGGGGGAGGTTGTTAGAAGCCGGTGAAGGGGCAGAGCCGCTCCGTGGGGAGGGCAGCCCAGGCAGCCCCGCCGCCCCGGGGAGGGGGGCATGAGGTAGAGGCCGGCGGCGGAGCGCCCGCGGGGCGCCGTGGCCGCGGAGGGCATGAGGCGGCGAGCGGCGGGGATGGGCTCCAGCGCGCGGTGTTAGAGCCCGCAGCAGCCGAGGTAAGTGTGCCCGCACCGGGACACCGCACCGGGACACCCCGGGACACCGCACCGGCACACCGCGCCGCCCGTGTCCCGCACAGCTGCGAGCCCCGGGGCAGCACCAGCTGGCATCGCGCCGGGTGTCCCCCCGCTCGTCCCTCCCTCCCTTCCCGACCCCGGCCCCGGCGGCGAGTCTCCCGTTAGCGCCGAGCCCCGGGCAGCGCCGGCGGCCCCGCTGCCGCGATCGGCGCAGCGAACGGCGGAGCGGCCGCGCTCGCTGCGCTGGATGCTGTGCGCCGGTTGTTGTGTGTCCTGGGGGCACGGGGCGTTTAAAGCGGGGAGTTTACAAGGGTGAGGAATCCAGACAGTGTTTAGAGAGTGAGAGTTTTAGGAGGAGAATGGGGTGTAATTAATGTAAACCTGATCTTCCCCGGGCGTGCGTATCGCAGCGAAGGCATCTTCAAGAATCTGGGTAATTGAGTGCGGTTGCGCTTTGGGACGCACCTCTGGAGCCCACGGAAACAAGTGGGGCTGTCGGTGGAGAGACCGTGCCGGGGATGGGTGGGGGAAGAGGAGGAAAGGAGGAATCAGTGCTGTACAGAGAAGTCTCGGAGTGGAGCAAGGCGCGTACCCAGAGCGGAGCCTGGCTGAGGGGCACTGGAGCAGCAACACAAAGTTTTCTGGGCTGCTGATGGGAGAGGTAACATTCCTCCTCCCCCTTCCACCAAGTTCCTCCGCAAATTGTTAACCTGAAATCTTGTTTTATGGCCACTTGCTAGCGTTTTGTTTGCCTTCCAGACTGGTTCTGCACAGGATACTAAAGAATTATGCATTAACTGTAAACTTAGAGGAGCTTACTGGCCTCAGTGGGTTCTTGATTTATATCAGGCTAAAGCAGAGAGGAGGGCAAAGTTTTACTCACTGAACACCAAGGAATGAATTACAAGTACGTTGCTCTTTCATTTGCTGTTTCTTCTTGCCAGTCTTCTCAATAGGATTTAAAACTCTGCAAAGTTGAGGGTTGTTCAGGGTTTTTTCCCCCACAGTAACTATTTTGCTCTCCTTTTTCCAGCCTCCAGGTCGGAGAGGACAGTAGCCTGTGCGATACGGCGGGATCTGGTTTTCAAAATGGAATTGCAGCTGGCGCTCCTTTTGGCAGGGATAATTGCGTTTTCGGACTCGGCGCGAGGTAAGGGGACCGCGCTTGGTGCGCTCACCCTGTGGCTCTGTCCCTTCCCTCCGCTCCCTGGGCTCTGCTAACACCCGGAGGGACCCCCCAAGGGAGTTGCTGTCAGCAGGGACTCGTCCCCTGGACTTTTTTTATCTGCACAGAGATTCAGGCTCGTGCCCACGTGTGTCCCTCCCTACCTGCGAGGTTTGGGGCAGCGTTTGGGATGGAGCGTGGTCGCTGCGGCTTTGCTGAGCTCTCTGAGGCACAGGTGAACTTCCAGGGGCTTTTCTGGTGCCTGTGGAAAAATACACAGACAATTTTAAAGAAAAGCAACTGCATTCCTCTGTGGATCAGAAATACCTCTCCCCTCCTGTAATCCCTCCAGCCCCTGCCCTGTGTATTCCCACTTACAAACTAAACAAACACATCCATTAACTGCCCCGGTGACAGACAAATGACAGTTCCCAACAGCGAGAGCGTATTTTAGCGCCGAGGCTCCAGCAGTTGATCAGATTTCAATAAACAGGTTACCCTTCCAGAGGCAAATTGAAATACATTGACCTGGGAATGATGGGGGTAGGAAAAAAAAGACGTTTCTTTATGGCAAGGTGCTTTTAGCAAGGCTCTGGGATCAGAGTGCAAGGAGCGGTGGCGCTTCCTGCACTTTGCCTGTGCTGTACCTTGGTGGCTGCTGTCCTTAGAAAGCCTGGATGGGAATCCAGGATTTCAGCTCCCCTGCCTCTGGTCACAAAGTAGGGGCTGCATTGTTCCAGGAGAAAAGGGGTACAGCTTTAGGATGCAGATGGCTCCAACTGCAATTCCCCACAGTCTCAGAGTTTTGTGAATTGTTGTAAGACCTTGAAGTCGTCCAGTGTGAAGGACTTCCAAATTAAAAGGTTTAAACTTGCCCTTCGCTTGGGCTGTAACTTGCCAAAAATAAATCTTGGGGGTGAGGGTGGGAAAGGAGAGGGGGAGAATTACTCTGGAAACTCAAGTTTGGTTTAGTGCACTGCTTTTTTTTTTTTTCTTTTTGGCATTGGCTCTCAAGCAAATATTTTATGGAGGCAAAAGCACTATAAAATGATTTGGCTGGAAGCTGAATGAAAAAGAAAACAGTATATAGGCTGTAATTCCTTCAAGTCTGAATTCCAGGCAAGGCTTACAATGGAGACTCAGTTTAAGTTGTGGGCGATGGGCAGCACTGTGTGAATTAAGATGACTTCATGGATGTATTTTATTGCAATGGACCTGAGAAGTTGGTGGAGTTCCGGAAAAGATCTGAAGTGGGCAGGAGAAGACAAAAAGATTCTTGTCTCTGATGTGAGCTGAGTATCAGCTCCTTTACTGGCTGACCCTGTTTAAATTTGGTTTGTAATTGTCTTGCTCTTATACTTGCTGCCCCTGGAAAGAGAAGCACTGTGGGCTGTTGTCATGCGAAGAAGTGACATGAAATTAATAGCAGTAATTTCAGGACATCATTATTTTTCTTGTGGAAAGGTCTTTTAAATATAACTTTGATAGGAGTTTTCAGAGCTGGAAAGACCCATATTGTAAGTGAATGGAGAGATAGTTCTGGTTGTTTAAAATTAACAAGAAATAGAGGTTAAAAGCCAGGGCCAAACCCATGAAAAATGTCATTCATTCATGTGCTGATTTAAGAGAGGGGAGGCAGAGAAGAAAAAGGAGTCATTGCTGTGAAAACAGAGACAAAATTCTGACATTTAAGTCCTGCTTTAGACCTCCTTAAGAAGGAGAACATTTTTGATAGTGAAGGACGTAGATGGAAGATCAAACTTGTGAGCAGAGATGAGACACTTCCCAGAACTTTGAAACTTTGTGCTGACAGATATCTCCAATTGTTAGGTGTTTACACTGGGATAATTTCAGGTTCTTGGAAAAACGCGCCAGGTTTTTCATGTGCCTGCAGAGTTTTTCTGAACGCTGGAGGTGTGTGAACGTTACCTGCCGCAGTCGCTCAGGTTTTATAGGCAGTCCTTGGGCCAAATCTCAGCCTGAGGTCGTGAGGCTCTTCCCTGGAGGAAGAAGGGCTCTTTGTTTTGGCCAAACAGCATTTCAGTACCTGTGTCCTGACTGCAGGTTAGACACGCGTGGCCTGAAGTGTGCCGGTGCCTCCTGATCCGAGGCGTCAGAAGTTCAGTAGGTGCTTGCTGGCCATCAAGTGAAGAAGTGGCTGAGGAGGTGCTCTGGGAAAGTGATGGTCCTTCTTTTCTACTCATTTTAGGCAAAAGTAGGTTGTGCTGTAGTCAGGGTGTTAATTTGGAGCTGGCTGGATGCTGAGCCTGTGCTTGGGGAAGGGCTGTGCCGTGGTGCATCTGCACAAGGGGGCAGAGTTAAGTTGCCCACGCGCTCCAGCTTTGATATTTCCTGACAGTTGAATGCTCAGCTGCAATCTTGCATTAAATGTTGCGTTGTATTATTTTTACATCTTTATTTAGGTGACACCTTTTAAGGCAAAGGGCCCTGCAGGAATGACTGATTGGGTTTAGCCAGGAGGTTTTTTTTCCCCACCTCCCAGCAAAAAAGGGCGTTTTTCCAGAGTCGGATCTGTGCCTGCTGGATCTGTCCCACCAATGGATCTCATCACTGATGTAGAAGACACTGTCAAAAAGGGAATATCTTAGCAGACCAAGATAAACTCTTAAGAAAGAGGGAGAACATCTGAAGTATCCCAGGAAAACAGAGAGCAGGTCTGATTTTGGAGCTACAGGTGGTAGAACTGTGTTTGAAGGGATTAGGGGTGAGGTAGCCCTGCCTGTTTTTGAACCAATGCTTTTGGGGTTGAAAATCTTTGACTAAGGGCTTGTGTACACCTACAAATGCACTGGAATAACCCTTCCAAAAAACTTAGTCTAGAATAACTCTCCGTGGCCAACCTTATTCCAGGCTAGGGATGTCCTGTACCAAAAAAGTCTTCCTCGGCAGCTATTTTGGTAGATATCCAAGCCCCTTCTTTCCCTTGTGGCTGAAGACTAGAACGTCTGTGTCCTCAAAACCCACTCCTGGAGAACCAAACCTGAGTGCTGGGGTTTTCTAAGAGGGACTGTGCCTTTCAGCTGATGGCCAAGGTGTGGAGCTTCAGCCTGGCAGCTTCAGCTTGGTTCTCAGCCTCGACAGATAATGCCTGCTCTGAACCTGGGATAGCAGTGCAGGTCCAGCAGCTCATCCCTCGTGTTATTCCATTCCTGCTCTCTCCAAGCAGCCCCATACTGGGCATAAAAGTCTTCAGTGCCCTGTGCTGGCCCTCCTCTGCAGGGATTAATGCCACCCTGGGTCACTAACCTTTAGTGACTATGTCCTGCAGCAATGCAGCTCCTGCCACGCCACACCTCCAGCTGGACACAGGTAATACAATCTGATATTTTCCTGCCTGTGTTATCTCAGTGACCGACAACGCAATATTTGTTCCAAATCTGTCAAGTTGCCATCATATTCGCCTTGGTGACCGTATATGGTAACGTTGGGATGTGCCTGGCTTGGTCCCGTGGCTTGAGCAAGATTTTGCATGGTATGTTTAGGAGTTTTTGGTAAGAGCAGTAACCACCCTCCTGTTAGCAAGTAAACTGATATTCTGCTGGAAACTAATTAGTTTGGATGTTGATTTCATTTTCGGTGCATTGCGTAGGGAGGGGAAGAACGGGACCTTAATTGCTTTCTGTTCTGGCACCTCTCTGAGCGACCTTGGCTTGCAAACCTGCTTGGTGTCTGCTTCACGGGGAATTTGCTGATTGGGCCACATCAACATTCCATGGTTTCGTGCAAAAATAATGTTATGTGCCATTTTGGCTTCTCTTAATATTGAAGAAAAGGGAATTGGTTGCTAGAGGGGTTTTTTTTATTTCTTGGAAGTTGTTTTCTTCGTTCTGATGAACAGAATTCCCATGCTGTAACTTTAGGGTTTATAAGAGTCCTTCAGTAAGCACAGAAAATATAAATGATGGTAATGTGACAGAGATGGTTATTGGCTTCTATTTTACACCTTTATTCTTGTTGAGTGGTTGTTACCAGATAGAACAATTAGGTAATTTCTCGCTCGTGAAAGAGAAGCATGTTCAGATCTAACAGCCTGATGCAGATTTCATGGAAGTCACAGCACATCTTCTGGAGAAATTTGGGGCATATTTTTGTACATTGCTCTTGGGGAACTTGCTCATGAATAATCTGTCAGCATGACTTGTACCTAGAGTCAACATGAAGAGCTAAGAAAATCCTGGTTATTTTTTTAAACGCTGGTTCCTCCCTTCTTCTGAGGCCGTTGGCCGCTTTAAATTGTGGCCGAGTTTAAACATAAAATTCAATGTGCGTCATACTGGAAAATTAGGGTTGATTTTATTTGTTTTTAATTAGGAATATTACAAAACTCAGCAAATTGCTCGAATACATCTAGATTTTCCCTAAAGTTTTTATAACTCTGTTTTCCAAGTCCATATGTTTCTTTGACCTTCATTAAAAGACGCAAGCAGCAAATCCAAATGTCTCTTTTCTGGGATGAACTTGCACACAGCAAAGGCTGGACTCCTCAGCCTGAGTCTTAGCCACAGAAGCAACTTTCATATGCCATGAAGTGGTGCTTGAGAAATTACAGGAAATTGTATTTTTCAGGAAAAAAATATAATTTGAAATTGAAAAAGAAGTGACACTTGCTAGCAAGTAGGAGCTCTCAGGATTTGGGGCTATTAGTGCCAATTTATTAACTAAAGATGAAGGTTTTCATTTGACATGAATTGGCTGATAGAGCTGATCTTTTCCAATATCCTCTCTGATAATTCCTTTTTGAGTGTCTGTCTCACCATAAGTGACATTGGTACATCTGGGTGCACAACACTCATCATGGAATAGTGTGTGTCCACTGAAGGTGGAAAATAACAATGCAGAGATCCTCTTGCACCTAGGTTGAATTAAAAGAAACCCAACAATCTTTAGTCATAGCTTTATTTATCCAGTGAGATTTGAACTGGTGCAGCTGATTTTCCTAAGATGTGAAGCTCCTACTTGTGTCT